ACTGTGGTGGCTGGGACAGCAGCAGCAATGTTGGTCAGGTTAATGCAGATGTGGAGGGTTTTTTTCCTCCTCCTTCATTGCTGTGCCTTCCTCTGCATGGGGCAGAGCTTTGGAAGGTGGTCAGCTTGCACACACTGGGTTTCCAGCTATGGTTGCTCTTGCTTTGCAGGGCTTTCTTTATGACACCTTCATGTTGCTGGCTCTTATCTGGTGCCCATGCTGTGCTGAAGATGCTCCCATTGCTCCAGGTCACCATTCTAACTGCTATCCTGGCCTCCATAGTAATAGACAACCTCATCGTCGGCTGGAACCCCAATGATGGTCAACGTGGCTGTGGAGGTGGAATTGGACCCGAAGAAATGTGAAAGGATGTCCGAGGGTCTCTAGTGGTTGTTGTAGACCACAGTGACAGGCGCAGTGACAGGTGCCTTCTGCTGGAACCAGCCATAGCTGTAGCTGCTCCCCCAGCAGGTGATCTGGACGGTTTCTCCCGGGTTGGCTGACACCGAGGCCGGCTGAGTCAGTGCTGCCTGGACCAGGGAACCTGGAGAGGGAGAGGACAGAGGGGAGAAGATGACTGGGTCAGCCAGTGCCCCAGGAGCACAGACCTCCCTGGGCATCAGGATGAGCACAGGGCCTCTGTGTCCACAACATCCCAGTGCCCCACTGGGACTCAGAGGAACAGAAGCAGAGCCCAGGGTGAGAGCCCCAAGGCCCTGTGAGGAGAGCTGGTGGGAGCAGAACCTCCCTGGGCAGCAGGACAGGGTCCCTGTGCCCAAAGCCCCCGTCTGGGCACTGTCCATCTTCACAGGGCACCTGAGCCATGGGCAAGCACCACGAGGAGGAGAGGGGCCCAGGACATGGTGTGATCCTACCAGATCCTCAACCCCACCATGACGGTGCTGAGTTTGGACCCCAACTCTCTCTTAAGCCCCCGCCCACCCAAGCCCAGCCCCTCTGTGCAGATGTGGCCCCAGGGAAGGTCCCAGGCAGCTCCTGGCCCAG